AAAAACTCTTCCATCCTCGCAGTGGATCAGTCTAAACGACTCAGGTGTAAATTGACTACAAGTGCTTCCAAGTGCAGCGGGGCTGCCGTAGCTTAGCGCTTGAGGAAGCGTAATTTAGGTCACCGACCTTACGTTCTTTATAAGAACCAATATGAGTGAAGCGGATCGCAATCCACCAAATCCAAGAGTAGTTAGCTCCATAGCCAAGGCTAATAAACTCTACGGTTTAAATTCGAACTGAGTTTTATTTTTTAGCGGCAAAAAAACGCCTATTTTAAAATGTTTAGATTTTCCTAAATATATATAGTAAAATCTAAACACATGCAAAACTACTGGCTACCTAGCCACATACCGTATTTTTGTTTGCAGTCACACCATGCCCATCTCGTGTGACATACACCCCTGTTTCCAGAGTACGTGTAATTCCGTTACATCAGACACTACGGGTGGATATCCATTCCAAATTTATAAAATGGATGACTACTAAGTGCTACTAGTGTAACGGGTTGTTACTTAGCATACTTTTTAAATCGACGAAGGTGATTGCTTATCTTACAGATTGAACTCCGCATCGTTGACGACACTTTGAAGTTAGTATGATGTCAGTATGGGCTCCGAAATACTATAAAGTTCTTGTGAAGGCTACTCCTATCTTTTCAAAATAATTTATATCTTGCAGCAATAAAACATTAGTAAAATATGTAAACAATAATGCAACAGGATTACACCCATTTTAGTCTGCACATCCACCTGCCTTTGAGCTTAAAACAACACTCTGATTTTGAATCCATTCATATGCTTAATTTTTGTTAGTATTTCTCTGTTGTTGTACCTTGGTAGAATATTGCGATACTAGCATTAATTTTGAAAGAATTAGAATTCGCGAGAAGCACGCATTCTACTACTAAAAGATAAAATTGTCAAAGTTTAAAGGGCACCTCCAGGGCTTGCTTAGCCCCACGAGGGTTTGGGTCATTCCGAAATTATATCACCCCAGTCTATCAGTGAATTTGAAGATGCGCATGTTTACCTTACTGTTGTTTTCTACCTCTTCTATCCGACGACAGAGACTTTAGATAAGTATACCTTTGTGTGATGGAGCAAAAATGGTCTCATGTTATTCTGTGTCAACAGCATACGTTGAGCTGCCGTAGCTCATTCACTTCGAGGAAGCTTAGCAACATTCGGCGACCTTCGCTCTGTACTTAGCCCCAGTAAGAGTGTAGCGGATCGCAATCCGCTTACTCCAAGAGTAAGTACAATCTGCAACTTAAATCTTCTGTTCAGAATGTAAACTTTGTTTCTCGGTTTCATTTGCGGCAAAGTCGCCTATATCTAAATCTATAGATTTTCTATCTATATAGTAAAACCTAATGAAATGTATAGCTACTGGCTGTTCCAGCCACGTACTGACTTGTTGTTTAAGTGTAGCCACACCATTGTGTGGTCACACCATCTTATGCGACCCCGTTACAGAACGGATTTATATCGGTATTTGGTATTGAGGGGAGGCATTGCTGGCAGTTGAAGGCCTGGAAGCTGTTATGCTCGCCTGAAAACATTCACCAGCCATAAGAACACGCCACTAAATTTTGATTGGAAAACCAGACGCCTGTCGAAGCATTATCGCTTTTATAGCTATGTAGGGCGAGACCGCTTCTGTCTAGCATTGAGTTCGTTAAGGGTAAGTATTATACTCTCCGCTAAACAGAAGAAGTCTAGATGGTCTTGAATTGAATATTGAGTCAAGCTGAGCATCAGCGCGACATGCACTTAAACGTGCATTCCCATTTCTAGCAGGCATTGATAGTATGGGAAATCGATGTCGCAAGTCTTTGCTTGTTTGCCGCATGCATCCAAACTTGAATCAACCTACCAGAAGAGGGGTTTTGCTGTACTATGTCCAAAAGTTTAACTCTCACAGCGGGCCCACCCATTACTTATTAGCATTACCGTATCTAAGGATGTCTCTTTCAACGCGACTTGCATCAAGACCTTTTGCATTCAAACAACTTTTTTTGCTGCTGTATACTTAAATGCGGAGCACAACTCTTGATCCGCAAGGGTCAGGTTGGTAGGTTCTCTAAGCGCGCCAGAGGCTATGAGCCTAGTAAGATTGAGAATCATGACGTCCCCTATATATCGAAGTAAGCGCCTTATTATCTGCGGGTGACACATAGCTAAACAGAAACGCCCTGCATTCTCCTTTCTGAATGAGTAGTGTGGCTCAAAGTTCGAACTCCCCAGCATACTGGTTCGACCGACCACTTTTGAGGATATCTCGTATTCTGCTGTAAAATAACAATTTTGAGCCCTCTTACACTCAAAGGTCTAAAATTTATATAGAGCGGCACTCTGGTGCTAACCGATCAAGTGATCTGGTCCTAGAAATCATAGTGCTGATCTCTACGAAGCCATAGAGATCCCTGTAATATAAAGGGCTTCATGTAACTTTATACGACGATGTTATCTTGGATGAGGTAAGGATATACGAAGGCGTGAACATAGTAAGTACGGATACAATATAAGTGTACTTTACGACGAAGACACAAGAAACGTGTCAAGAATTCTTTTAATCGTATAATAAACTTTTGGGGTCTGATAGCGAGCGACACAGTTTAATATTACACCTCAATTCGGTATATGATCTCTTGCTAGGGATGATTGAGCTGAAGTCTCGCGAGCTTTGAATTGATCAGAAGACGGAAGATTAGAGTTCCGCTGGTCAATCATGTCGGAGCTCTGATGCCTAATAAGTCTACCGCAGCGAGAAAGCAAAAGCTCACTTGGGGCGGGCACGAAGTTGTGACATCTTAATGCAAAACCCATAAGGGTACAAGATAATGAGCAATGATATTGTTGAAAGTCTTGATCAAAATTTCAAAGGCAAGGGTGCGTGGCGCGGTCTCCAGAATTATACCTTGTCAAGGCAGGAAGAGATTGCTCCAAACCGGAGCCTTCTGCATTAATCTTTGTGAAGACGGATGGAGGCGGCATTAGGCCCTTGTTT